TACTTTTTGATAAATAATTCGTTCTTATTGCGAAATAGGAGCACTATTTATCAATCTGTAATAAAGGACGTGAGGAAATTCTGTCTTTTTTAAAGTCAAACATTTTTGAGGCGAAATACCCAAAAATAAGTTAGTAAAAAAATGAATTCGCCTCAACAATATAGAACTTATCTACAACTTAAGAATTAATTTTTATTCAGGATACAACGTAGTTGGTTCTTGGAAATGTTGTTTAATTAAGCGTAAACTGTCTTATCAATTGTCCAATCAAGAATCAGCCGCAATCAAATCCTGCCGCTTAAAGGTTTTAGTCAATTAATTTTTTACGTTTTTTCTATGAAATCCCAAAAACCTGTAAATTTAATTGAAGAGTTTTTGCTGAATTGCGCGTTTTACTTAATTAACTATTTTTGTGTGTATCTATGTGTACACAAAAAGTGGACAAATTAAAAAACAAATTTATTTCTCAACATTAAAGCTTTCAATTTTTTTTGGAAAACGTGGCCACTTGTCCTGGCAAGAAAAACTAAGGAATTAGCTGGAGACCAAGAAAAAGTTGAAAATTGAAATTTCCCTTGCCATTTCCAAAAAACTTCACTTATCTCCCGTACCTGTGATAGCTGCCCAATGTAGAAACCAACACGCCGTTTCTCTGTTTCCCTTCCTCTTCTCATCTTCAAGAATTGAATCTCTGTGCCCATTGCGCGACGCTGTTACTGTCGGCTTATACACCACTTCCACCAAGTTTTTACTCTCCACTTTGCCATCATCAATGGAATCGTCGTCAATCGAGCTCATCGTTCAAACTTGCGAAATTAAATGAACTTTTCCAATGCCTAATCGATTGTCTTAATGGACCATTGTTCGGTACACGAGGGGATTCAATGGTACTCCAACTGGTGCACTGGTGACCATGAATTAAGCGAACCGAAGAAGTATTGTTAATTCCGCAATAGCAGCAAACCTCCTGAACTGTGTCCGATAAATAGTCAAGGAATCGCCACCACGCCTTTTCTTATTATTTCACCTGTTGACCCATTTCAATACACCTACTTACTGCGCAAAGAGTGAGTTTTATGATAAATTAACTCGATCTAAGTCAGAAATCTGAATTGTTTTAATCGCTCCCGACCGCTTTTTTTGATCATTTTAAATAATTAAGGTTGGAAGCTAATGAACAAATAAAATACACTGTTGATTAAAAAATCAGTCATTAATACAAAATAAATGTATCAAGTTTGCTGTTCAATTGGACTTCTTATAAAGGCTTCCATTAGTGCCTCAGCGAAGGGAGTACAAATAAAGTTACCTTCAGTTGCAAGAATTTTGCTTTATTATAATTTTTCCATCAGCCTGCCGGCATGCAAACAAGTTTATTCAGGAGACACAAAAATCAAGATTTTTGTCAACAATATTTTTGTAAGACCAAATACTTTTAAGGTCCTCCACTCTAGAAAAACTTTTAGAAAAGTTTCACTATAAATTTATAAACAAATAATAACTTTTGGTAAATAAAGTCGAGCAACCTTAATTTTTAAAGCTGTACAAGTCGTCCTTCGTGGATTCGTCCGGTAGCTTGATTTTAATTTGAATCATTACGTTCTCCTATAGTGGATACATGCAACAGACGAAGTTTTTTCACAATAAAATCATTAAGTTTGCAGGGTAGCAAACTGACGCTCATTACAATCGAATTGGCTTAATTACATGTAAACATTACAAAAGCTTTTTTTAATTTTTTTACAAACTTCTTTTTGGGTATTTCGCCTCAAAAACTTTTGTCTTTA